TTCAATTTCATTGCTGGTAAGTGGTCTGTTTAGATTTTCTGTTTCTTCCTTGGTCAGTCTTGGAAGGTTGTATTTTTCTAGGAAGTTGTTCATTTCTTCTAAGTTTTCCAGCTTGTTAGCATATAGGTTTTCATAGTATTCTCTAATAATTCTTTGTATTTCTGTGGAGTCTGTCGTGATTTTTCCTTTCTTGTTTCTGATTCTGCTGATGTGTGTTGATTCTCTTTTTCTCTTAATAAGTCTGGCTAGAGGCTTATCTATTTTGTTTATTCTCTCGATGAACCAGCTCTTGGTTTCACTGATTTTTTCTATTGTTTTATTCTTCTCAATTTTATGTATTTCTTCTCTGATCTTTATTATGTCCCTCTGTCTGCTGACTTTAGGCCTCATTTGTTCTTTTTCCAATTTCGATTAATTGTGACATTAGACTATTCACTTGGGATTGTTCTTCCTTCTTTAAATATGCCTGGATTGGTATATACTTTCCTCTTAAAACTGCTTTCGTTGTGTCCCACAGTAGTTGGGGCTTTGTGTTGTTTTCATTTGTTTCCTTATATTGCTGGATCTCCATTTTAATTTGTTTGTTGATCCATTAATTATTTAGGAGCATGTTGTTAAGCCTCCATGTGTTTGTGAGCCTTTTTGCTTTCTTTGTACAATTTATTTCTAGTTTTATACTTTTGTTGTCTGAAACGTTGGTTGGTAGGATTTCAATCTTTTGGAATTTACTGAGGCTCTTTTTGTGGCCTAGTATGTGGTCTATTCTGGAGAATGTTCCATGTGCACTTGAGAAAAATGTGTATCCTGTTGCTTTTGGATGTAGGGTTCTATAGATGTCTGTTAGGTCCATCTGTTCTAGTGTGTTGTTCAGTGCCTCTGTGTCCTTACTTATTTTCTGTCTGGTATATCTGTCCTTTGGAGTGAGTGGTGTGTTGAAGTCTCCCAAAATGAATGCATTGCATTCTATTTCCTCCTTTAATTCTGTTAGTATTTGTTTCACATATGTTGGTGCTCCTGTGTTGGGTGCTTATATATTTATAATGGTTATATCCTCTTGTTGGACTGAGCCCTTTATCATTATGTAATGTCCTTCTTTAACTCTTGTTACTTTCTTTGTTTTGAAGTCTATTTTGTCTGATAGTAAGTAGTAGTGTAACACCTGCTTTTTTCTCGCTGTTGTTTGCATGAAATATCTTTTTCCGTCCTTGACTTTTAATCTGTGCATGTCTTTGGGTTTGAGGTGAGTCTCTTGTAAGCAGCATATAGATGGGTCTTGCTTTTTTATCCATTCTATTAATCTGTGTCTTTTGATTGGTGCATTCAGTCCATTTACATTTAGGGTGATTATTGAAAGATATGTACTTATTGCCATTGCAGGCTTTAAGTTTGTGGTTACCAAAGGTTCAAGGTTAGCTTCTTTGCTATCTTACTATGTAATTTAACTCACTTATTGAGCTATTATAAACACTGTCTGATGATTCTTTATTTCTCTCCTTCTTATTCCTCCTCCTCTATTCTTCATATGTTGGGTGTTCTGTGCTCTTTTTAGGAGTGCTCCCATCTAGAGCAGTCCCTCTAAGGTACCCTGTAGAGGTGGTTTGTGGGAGGCAAATTCCCTCAACTTTTGCTTGTCTGGGAATTGTTTAATCCCTCTTTCATATTTAATGATAATTGTGCTGGATACAGTATTCTTGGTTCAAGGCCCTTCTGTTTCATTGCATTAAATATATCCTGCCATTCTCTTCTGGCCTGTAAGGTTTCTGTTGAGAAGTCTAATGAAAGCCTGATGGGTTTTCCTTTGTAGGTGACGTTTTTTTTCTCTCTGGCTGCCTTTAATACTCTGTCCTTGTCTTTGATCTATCCCATTTTAATTATTATGTGTCTTGGTGTTGCCCTTCTTGGGTCCCTTGTCATGGGAGTTCTGTGTGTTTCTGTGGTCTGAGAGGCCATTTCCTCCCCTAGTTTGGGGAAGTTTTCAGCAATTATTTCTTCAAAGACACTTTCTATCCCTTTTTCTCTCTCTTCTGGTACTCCTGTGATGCAAATATTGTTCCTTTTGGATTGGACACACAGTTCTCTTAATATTCTTTCATTCCTGGAGATCCTTTTATCTCTCTCTGCATCAGCTTCTTTGCGTTCCTGTTCTCTGATTTCTAGTCCATTAATAGTCTCTTGCATCTCGTCCATTCTGCTTTGAAGTCCTTCCAGAGATTGTTTTATTCCTGTATTCTCCGTCCTTAGTTCTTGCATATTTCTCTGCAAGTCCATCAGCATGGTTATGACTTTTGTTTTGAATTCTTTTTCAGGAAGATTGATTAAATCTACCTCCCCAGATTCCTTCTCAGGAGAGGATGTGGAAGGTGTCTGGGTTAGCCTGGTCTGGATCAAATTTTTTTGCCTTTTCATGTTGATAGATGCAGTCGTATGCTATTGACTCGTCTGTCAGCTGGGAGAGCCAAGACCTTTTCCACTTGCTCCTGGCCTTTCTTTTCTGGGACAATGGCGACCCCTAGCGGCTTGTGCTGGGCAATTGTGCGTAGACTGGGTCTATTTCTTGCCCAGCCGCTATTGAGGAAGCTCCCTTGCTGTGGGTGTGGCCAGCCTCAGACTGCTCCTCTGCTATGGTGGGACACCGGAGTGGGAACAGACGGGGGCCTGTTTATCGTCGTGAGGGGTCTCAGAGCTGCTGCCCAGGGGTTTAGTGGGCCCGGAGTTCCCCAGGATTCCCAGCTGCTGTGCTAATTGTCCCCGGATGCTTCTGTCCAGCTGTGGGGTCCCTGTCTCTTTAAGACTTTCAAAAAGCACTTGCTTTTCTTTCTCCCAGGGGTGCCGAGTGCAGGGACCCACTCACAGGTTTTACTGTCCTGTTTCCCTAGTTTTCAGCACCCCACACCTGGGTGCGGATGGCTAGGGCTCGCTGTTTAGCAGTCCTGGGCTCCCTCTCCCTCCCTGCTCCCACTCCTCTCCTCCCGCCGGGAGCTGGGGTGTGGGGGCGCTCAGGTCCCGCCAGGCTGGGGCTTGTATCTTACCCCCTTCGTGAGGTGCTGGTTTCTCGCGGGTGTAGATGTGATCTGGCTATTGTCCTGTGTCTTCTGGTCTCTTAGGGATAGTTATATTTGTTGTATTTTCAAAAATATGTTTTGGGGAGGAGATTCCCACTGTCCTACTCACACTGCCATCTTGGCTCCGCCCTCCGATATTTAGCATCTTTTTAAAACTTTGTGTAATCCTCAGCCTTTCCAGTCTAAAGGAAGGAACTAAGATGGAGAAAGGTTATACTGGGGGGGGAAACTGATTGAAACTGTACAGAATCCCAAACAGGGAAATGATAGGCTGTGAAAGCTCTCCTCACCTGCTGAATGGTGTTTATCTTAGCAAAATTAGAAGTCCTGATGCTTCTGGCCCCCATATTGCTCTTCATAGGATTTACATTTACTTCCTGGCACAGTACTGTCTGGGTTTTTGCTTCCTTATTTAAAGTTTACTAATAAAGAATGAGTCAGAAGCATCTAACAATACTGTGTTTTTTCCAAAAGAGGTTCCATATTTGTCCTTACTGTGTATGTACCTTGAGAGTTTTTCCACGTTAGAATGTTTGTGACTTATCATCAACTACAGAAGTATTTTTTAAAGTGTGGTCCATGAGATAATGGTTGTCAACTGCTGTAAAAATTCTTATATCATCTGAAAAGAACTAATTAACGTATGCCATAGGAAAACACTGAAGGGGAGGAAATAAAAGAGGGAACATTTCATAAAAGCTTATAAAAGCTCAGTGTAGCTATCCTACTGAAATGATGATGTAATTAAGGGGAATTAAGTGAGTTGGGTAAATAACTTTTTTAAAAACTAGCCCCCTGAAAAGGAATAGAATTAATTAGCACAATTTATAATAACCAAATTCTGACCATCTGCACATACATTTTAATTAACCTAATGTTTATTGAATGACAAGCAGGTTTGGCAGCTGCAGCTAGAGTTAATGCCATTGAAACCTACCTTGAAGGATGGACAAGTCTTAGGTGTGGTGGTCTCCAGTAACTCAAGCTGAGGAATAGCATGTGGTGGTGGGAGGTTTTGAGCAGGAAACAGAAGAATCTGATACGAACTTTAGTTTCTTTCTTGTCAAATGAAAGACATAGAAAGCAAGGACTTAATCTTTTCTTTGTATAGCACCAATGCTGATTCTAGCCTGTCAGGGCAAATTCTGTGATTAATAGCTGTTGATGAGTGAGTCATTTGAGAACTGACTTTTAAATAAGTTGGCTAATAAATGAGAATTCATATAAATTCGGGGATTTTTCTTTTAAAAGCAAATGTTAGTGCAGTTTTCACACACTCTATTAAGCATCTAGTAGATTTGATAACTATAGTTCAGTTTTTGCATACAAAATGGGCAGCTGAGTAAACAAAAGAAGCTCCATTATTTCTGTCGTAATTAGAGAACTTGAGCTAAGAGAAATAGGTCAGAGAAGGCCTAGTGGGGAAAAAGTACAGTGAGTCTGGTTAGAGCTGACAAAAATTCACCCTAATGGCTTCACCAGCTAGGGATGACTAGGCAAGTTCCCCAGTCCTCTGACCCAGATGTTCTTATTTGTAAATGCAAAGTGACTTCTTTATCTGGCCCCTTGGGGAAATTTTCAGAGCTGTGAACCTGCTACCTTCTGTAATCTTGCTGTCCTGAGCCCCAGGCTGTTCTCTGATGAAAGGTCAGGAAGTGACTACCGGAGTTTTCCAGGTCAGAGCTCCAGAGGTACCCCAGTGACCAACAGTAGGGAAATAAAGTTTACTTGCCCCCCAACCCCACCCCCACCACCAGTCATCAGCACTCTGTTTTAAAAAAATCAGTGGAGTTCCTGTTATTTTCTAGGTTGCAATCCATTGCAGTTGGCTCAGGCTTAGTTGTTTGGGAAATAGGAGTGTTGCCTAGCGTGAGTCAGCACGGCCTGGGTAAACTGCCTGCTCTGTTGCAATCTTGCTTACCAAAGATACGTCCCCAGGCGGCACCATCCACTTTGCTTGAAAGCGGCTGCTGTTGGTTCCTGAGATGATCTCATCTGAACATGGCTCCAAGGACCTCAGCGGCAGGAACTGGAGGCAGCTTGCTGTCTGCTGTGGTAGTGTTTTGAAACAGGCAAAATCAGGTAATTCCATACTTGTCTTCTCTTAGTTTCTCTAGCTAGACAGCTGCAGTAGGAACTGGGAAGATGCTTGGTCTTCAGAAGTGAGTCAGTGCCATATCAGTTTGGGTATCTTAAAGTTGTCCTTCAGATCTTTGGAGGGGATCTTAAGGGGATAAAGTTTCATTTCATTTAGGGTCTGGATGTAGTCTTAAGACTTAAGACAATGTATTATATAAACCTTAGAGAAGTCAAACATATTAGGTTTACAGCTTTAATACATCTTTTTGCTTTTGTATTTTTTGTCCTTTTGGGGCTTATGAAAAATTTAGTCAGACCAAACCATTGTTAAAGGAAGAGAGAGGCACATGTTATTTGCTTATCTACTTAATATTTGTGAATATTGAATTGTAGAGAACACTGTCTTACCAGTGAGTTTCTTTATTCCTTTCTGAAGTATGGGGAACCTCCCCTCATTCCTAATTCTGTTCAGCCTACTGCCCTGTCTCCCTCCTGCTCTAAACCTTTGAACTTTTTACCTCTTCAGCTTCATTGCTAGGTTGTTCCCTCCCTCAAAGTTGGCTGATGATCCTTAGAATTATCCCCAAATGGTCCATGTTCTCTTTTACCTCAAGCCTTTTTACAGATGAGCCTGCCTTTTCTGAAAACACCCTGCCCCAACTTAGCCAGCTGGCTTCAGCCTAGAAGTCACTTCTGTGAGGTTTCGTCTTACTCACCAAGACTGGATGAGTACTCAGGAGGGCTCTGTGTTTACTCCAGTCGTAGATATATTGAGATTCAGCATCTGTTTTGTTAGAATTATATCCATGGTCCTTGGTGCATAGTAGGTTCACAATAAGGGTAAATGAGGAAGAGCCTGTCCTGTAGTTCCTTATCTTGGATTCTTGTATCAACTCTGTTGTTTTGGCTGCTACCCCCATTACCCTACTCATGTTTTCCTGAGAGCACAAGTAAACTCTTAACCAAACCCCATGTTCTGATTTCAGCCTCCATCTTTATCTCTGTCTAGCATTTGGCACTGTTGAACTGTTCTTTTTTTTCCTAGTAACTCTGTTCATTTGGCTACTCTGTGTCTTCTGAGTTTCTCAAGTATCCTTTTATTATTTTTTCTCATTCTCTTTGGCTATCCCATAAATGTTGAGATGCTTCAAGGCATCTCAGGGCCTTGGGTACCTTTTCACTCTACCCTGCCCCCTTCCTTCAAGGATCCCAAGTATATCCATAAATTCAGCTATCTTTAGTGTATCTTACCAGCCCCAGTTGTCTCTCCCAACGTTCAGATCTTTTTTTCCAACTTGACAAATTTTGACAAACTTTGTCCAATTTGACAGACCGACCAGGGCATCCAAAAGGCATTATAAATTTAGCACATATGTTGACAGTGACAGAAGAAAGGGCTTCTTTGTGTGACCCCCTGCCAGTGGGGGTGGGTGCCTAGCAGCCCTCTGTGGCCTGGGCCCCCTTCCCATGACCAGCTTCCTGCTGATGAACATGCTGTTTGTATTGTTTTAGAAAACTTTTGTGGATAAAAGCAATGCATGTTTGTGTCATGAGAAAAAAATTAAACATGTATAACAATTCGTTATCTCTTCTACCCAGTATCTCTTACCTGCTTGTATTGCTGTGTGTTTGAACTCTTTTAATTATATGTACCAAATCTTCTTGTTTGTTCTTTTTATGCCTCACATCCTCTAAATGAGCTTAATCTGTGGTTGCTAAACCCTTTTGATTATATTGGAGTACTGTTTGATGTGTGGTTTTTCTTAAGTCCCATTTTTTTGCCTTAATTTACCAGAGGTCAAAAATTAGACGTTTTGTTTAACCAGCCCAGTGGCTTAAAATTTTGTGTGTGATACCTTTTTAGCAGGGCCTGCACTCTTCAAAGACTGCAGCCTAGTGTTCTCCCAGATCTGGTGCACCAGAGATGTCACATTTTATTTACTTTGTCTTCGGGAATTTGTGTTTCTAACTGCTGGTTCATACTGTTATCACATGTTGACTGGGCTTTTGCTATTCCACCATAGGTCTTTCTCTGCTCCTCTTTTCCACACTGTTGCCAAAGTTATCTTTCTAAAGGACAAATCTAATCTTTTCATTCTTAGGTTTTCAGAGTGCCATGAGTTCCCCATTCCTCACTTAGCCTGATAAGTAAAATCCTTCACAGTTCGACCTGATCCCTCTTGTTAACTGTTTCTTGTCCTAGGTCCACTCCCTGTCCTTTCTCAATCACTGCTCTCCTCTTCAGCCTCATGAAATCTTCATTTTTCCAGTCTCTGCTTATACGATATCTTTTTAGGTCTCTGTGTCTTCACCTAGTGGCCTCGTCCTCTGACTGGCAAAGTCCCTATCCCCTAGGAGACTTAGTTTATCTGTTAAACCTTCCCTGACTTCCTCAGGTAGAGTTAGTCTTCCTTACTTGGACTTCCAAAGCACTGACTCTTCCACTAGACTGCTGAATTCCTTGACTGACTCTGGTCCCTGACCCAGAGCCTGGCACAATCAGTGGCTGAAGTGGGTCAAACCATTAGTCTGAACATCTTTATTATTCTTGGCAGTAATAAAGTTTTTTGACAGAATTAGAAAATTCGTAAGCTTTTTGTTAGATGGCAGGTTTTGGGTTCCTATTTGATTATGTTGAGCCCGTGGTGCTCTAGTGTATGTTACCTGAAGCTGTCAGATAACTGTTCAAAGTTAATTTGAAGATTTATAGGGCTAGCTGAAACCTAGTTCTACAATACCACCTAACATTTTTATAGTACTTTACAACATATTTCCATTGTATCTGCTTATTTGATACCTATAATATTCTGTGTGGGGTAGTCATTATTATCCCTATTTTATTGGTGATTATAAAGCTACTTCTGACATTGAAACATATAATCAGTCCAGACTCAGAGAGTATGTTTGCACTGCATTGAGCAACTGGTTTGTCTCTTTGTAGTTAAGTATTACTCTTTGGGTTCTACAGAAAAGATGCCTTTTGTTATAATAAGCAAGTGCTGAAGTCTTGCCTTTCACAAGACCACTTCATCATCAAGGTCGAAGGAGGAGGTACCCAGGGCCTGCCTGACCAGTGGATGACAAGGCCTTGTGTAGTAAGAGACCTTGATTGAAATTAATGTTGTGTCCACTCCAATCTCTCAAGTTTTTCTGTTGTACTTCAAATATCTAGAATGTGTTAGAACTTCATGCAGTAGTGGAGGGTCAAACCAGTTTGGTGAGTGAAGGGAGTCAGCACAAAATGGAGTAAGCTGAGTGTTAAGAACAGAAAAGATTTCACAGTATTTCTGGTAAGTGATTATAGGGTAAATCACAACTTTTGGAGTTTTAACACACCGTATTTGGTATTATGTGGAATTTGATTATAGAAAAGTAAACCATTAGGAAATAATCTCTCTTAGATACTGGCATGTGGCATCCAATTTTGATCCCCTCATGCCTAAGAGACGATAAAAATGATTGAAAATTATCAAGTCCTATCACTATTAAAAAAAAGGTACTATTTTAGCTTAGAGAAGAAAAGCTAAGGGATGGCTTGATTATCATCTTCAGGTATGAGAACAGTTTTTGCCAGGGGGATTTTGATTAGTTGTTCTTCGTGTACTTCAAAGACTTAAAAGAGGAAATGGGTTTAAATTGAAGGAGGAGTAATTTTAATAATATAAGGAAGTTTCTGATCATCAAAGATGGGAAATACTTAAATTATTGCTAAAATAGTGTTGAATTTTGACTGTTTCAATTATCTGTTACTGTGGAGCAAACCACCTAAAAACTTTAAGTGGCTTCAAATGACAACTGTTTTATTGTTCATGATTCTGTGAGTTAGTAATTCGGTTAAGAGGGACATACTGCTTTGCTCCATGTGATGTTGATTGAACTGGAGAAGCCAACATGGCTTCACTCACATATCTGGGACCTTGGTGCTTGCGTTGGCTGGGATAGCTTGGTTTCTTCCATGAGGTCCTACTCTCTCTTGGTTTCTCATCATTCATTACTCAAGCTCGGGCGCCTTCTACGTGGTGATTGGCTTCCAAAGGGGCTATGACAGACCTTCCAAGGGTCTCTTAAAGCCTAGGCCTGAGAGTCATATATCATCACTTTTGCCCCACGCTTTTTTTTTTTTTTTTGAGAGGGCATCTCTCATATTTATTGATCAAATGGTTGTTAATAACAATAAAATTCTGTTTAGGGGAGTCAATGCTCAATGCACAATCATTAATCCACCCCCAGCCTAATTCTCATCAGTCTCCAATCTTCTGAAGCATAACGAACAAGTTCTTACATGGTGAACAAATTCTTACACAGTGAATAAGTTCTTAAATGGTGAACAGTACAAGGGCAGTCATCACAAAAACTTT